TTTTTTTTTTCTGCTTCCACATCTAAGAGCCATGTTGTCTCTTGCTGGTTTCCCAGGGATTTGCCCAGAGTGTGGCGGGCTGCTGGCCCTTGCTATAGACTCTTCTGTTGTTGTTTGTAGTAAGTCAACTCTTAGTCTTCCCGCTAATAAATATTCAGTAACAAACCAACTGCGYTGAGCTGCTGTCTGGGAGCAGCACTTCCCCTTGTGTTTCTTTGTATTGATTCCTTTTCGTTTGTTCAGCTTTCTTTGCCAGATGAACGTATGTAAACTTTTACCATGTCGAGAAATTAAAATGAGGTACTTGGAATTCTTTCAAGGCAGCCCCCTGTGTGTGATGCTGGGCTCTTAGGCCRTGCAGTTTTAGTGTCCTGTTCTGGTTCTGCTTTTCTTACATTCAGTTGCTCCTTCTGTGCATTCTCCTAATTCCCCTTTCTGACTCTGTTATAAGTCTGCTTTGTAGGTTGTTTCTGTTCCTTCAGCATGCCTCACATTGGGCCTGTAGATTTGGGTTTGATGGAATTTGTCCCATCTCAGCCCARTGTGGGATTTGGGCCATCCCAGTTCAAACTGACCTGGGGATTGTGCATGGTGTTACTCTGAGCCTGCAGTTGCCCCAGTGTTTCTCTACCAGGCAGGTCTTGTGGGCAGGTGTCTCTTGGCTGTCGTGGATGCAGCAGCCAGTGTCTCTGTGGGGCTCACAGTCTGCTGCTCCTGGCTGTTGGTGTGTGTGGTACCCAAGGAGAGGCATTTGCCCTGCTCTTCCCAGCCACAGTGCCCTCTGCTCTTTGGGGATCATCCTATTCCTGCCTTCCCTCCATACTGAGACAGAGACCTCTCGAGGGGCACTCGAGGCTTTCCTGGGTGTCTGCCCCAGCTGCAGCCCCTCTGAGCCACTCCAGGGCTCATTGCCTGCTCGGGGCTGTGCCTGTCCTGGTGGCTGTGCTGCTGAGCAGGGTGTGGGAGCTCCTGGCTGCCCAGGAACAGGAGCAGCCCCTTGTGCWGGAAGGTTCCTGCGGTGTGGGAAAGCCCTGCAGGTGCCTGACCCCTGAGCTGCAAACAGCCAAGGCAGCTGGAGCAGAGCCCAAGGGAAGGACTTGCTGGCAGCTCTTGGTGTGGTGCAGCTCGAGGGGCTCCTTCTCAGCACAGCCAAAAAAAATGAACACTGCCAGCAGTGCCGTGGGAGGAGGGAGCATCCAGGACAATTGTCTTGGCAGGTGCTGGCAGGGAGTGGGGTTCATCCATGGGAGCAGGGTTTGTTTGTGATCCCAATGAATTTGGGAGCAGTCACAGTGTGCAGTCAGGGCTCTGTGGTCCTTGAGACATCCCAGCTTCTGTGCAGGGAGGAGAATAAAGGCTCAGCAGTTGTGTGCAGCCACAGCACAGCTGGCGTGGAGGAAGGGTCAGGCAGGTTCCACTGCTGTGCTTTGCATAAGCTGCCCTGTGAGGTGAGGCACTGGGAGTGGGAGCTTTCTAAAGTCTGAGCTCTGCTTTGGGGCTTGCTGAAGCCTTGCCACTGTCAGGAGCATTGGCAGGGGTTGTCTGTGCTGTGCCCTTCCCCAGCTGTTGCAGTTGCTGTCTCTGAGTTTCCCCTAAGCCAAAAGCTGTGTCTGGTTTGGGTTTCAGTAAATTTTAGATTCTATTTTTTGCCACCTCTACCTTTCTGCGTGCGTGAAAAACAGCACTCCCCTCTCCCGTGCTTTGGGGAATGTGGGCAACTTAGCAAAYAGAAGATGTGCTGATGGGCAGTACCTAAAATGAACCGTGTAGCCAAAATAAAACATGGGTAGGATGTGAATTCTTCATATGGGATGTGGGTCAGTGACGGGCTGGTCACTCTGGGGAGCTGGCATGTGGGAAGCAGTACGTGCGCTGAGCAGGTCATAAACAAATTATGCTGTTAGGCAGACGTGCAATTTCTTTAATTCTAGGTTAGCTTTAAGCTGTTGCAGGCTTCTTTTGGAGAGGGTACACGAGCAATTCCCTGGTGTGTGCAGCCCCTGAAGATCCCTCATTGCTTTTATCAGTCAATTATTGACACAGGTTCTGGCTCTMCAGACTCAGTTAATTACTCTGCTTCCTGAAATTCCTGCTGCAAGGTGAAGGTGCATTTAGGGCTGTTTTATTTACTCTGAAACAGARCTCTAAACCAGAGCTTGGAAAGTCCAGCAGAAACAGACAGTACTAAAAAAATCTGGTRTCAGACACGGCCTCCATGGCACAGGCTCTGCAGTGGGGCAGGGGCAGTGCAGAAAGCTGCCATCCTTTGTCCAGCAGCTCTGGGGTGTGTGCTGTGCTTGCTATGTCGTGGGGTTGTCAGCACAGATTAGGGTTTCTCTTTCTTTCCAAGCCCCCAACATGCAGAGAACCGGGAGCGTTCCCACACTCTATTTTCGGATCTCTCCCAGCCCAGCTGCAGGCTCGAGTTGTGATTTGTGGGGCAGGAAGGCCTGTGGAGTTCTCTTAAACTACTGCTGTGCTGCTTGGAAAAGGCCCTTCTGTAATTGYAGCCTGTGCCGTGGCTTTGAGGGAYGAGGGATACAAACCCAAGAGGCGAAATCAAACATGAATTATCTGCTCTTTGTGTACTCTTYAAAGGAAAGGTCCACGTGAGCTTTGTGGAGCACCTGAGGAGGTTCTGCTGCAGTTTCACCTTGGTTGTGCCAAGCAGAGCCCTTTATCTGTTCCTGTGAGGTGGGAGGTTCATCCTGGCTGTGTCCCAAACCTGAACCAGGGGAGCAGTGCTCCTGCTCTGTGCTCCRAGTGAAACAGRACCTGGTACCAAAAGGGAATTTTTYTTTCAAGCCTAACCCCAGGTAATCCTCAAAACCTCGCTGTTTCATGGATTGAAAAACTGACTTGGAAAGCAGCGCTGCTTTGCCTCATTTGGGGTCACTCAGAGGTGTTTGATCCTGTGAGCCCATGSGAGCAGGTTCATCTGGAAGCTGTGGCTGCAGTGTCCTGTACAGCCACATCTCTGTCCTTTCCTGTCCYGTCCCTGCCCGTTGTTGTGTCAGAGCCCCTTTGCCAGCACCCTGACCTCATGAAGCTGCTGCTGTGGCTCTGAGGCTCTCCTGGAGCTGCTTGTGCTGGCACAGAGAGTGTGTCCCTGGCCTCACAGCTGCCCTGAGGAAGGCTGAGGCTGCCAGTGGTGGTGAGGATAATGGAGCGTGTCCTACAGCAACGTGGCCYTCTGCCTTCCAGCCTGCTGTCTGAGCACCACAGAGGGGCTGAGCCCCAGCAGGATCTGCCACAGAGCAAGAACCAGAGGCTGGTGGGTGCTGTGGGCACTTTCCTCACCCATCAGGAAACCCTYGAGGGTGAGGTGAGGTGAGGCTGGCAGCAGGAGTGGAAACACTGGGTTGAATCTCCAGCCCTGGTTCTCTTGGATGCCTTCTCCTACTCAGCACCAGCTGCAGGACCGGAGCCAAGGTGGTGTGTCTTGCCTACCCCGAGCATCTGCTGCGTGGCAGGATGGAGCACCGAGCCCTGCTGGCTGCCTGGTGCTGCCCATGCCTTTGAGCAGCGCTGTGAGGACAGCAGGGGCTGTTTTTGGGGTGGCAGAGGGCAGCTGTGGCACTGTGGCCTGGCAGCACCCATAGCAGGCACTGCTGCCCGGTGCAGGTCATCCAGGGTCATTCTGTCCTTTTGGAATCTGCACCTCAGCTCATCTGTGAGTTGAAGGGAAAGACAAAGGCTTCAGGATCCTGTGGCAGTGCAGTGCTGGGGATTAATTGGCTCAGAGCTGTTCTGAAGTGCAAACGAAGAGCTGATTGTTCACAGTGTTGGGGGCTGATTCTCATCCCAAAATTCACCCCCATGCTTGCCGAAGTTTTTCTACCTCTGCAGAGAAGGATGTGTTTCCAGCAAAGGCTTCCATGTGAAAAAAATAAAATAAAAAGTAACTGCAAGCATGGAATGGTGCTGCCAGAGAGAATGTTTACAAGGAAGGAGCCTGATAAACAAGGAAAATCGGTGAGTTGTAAAGAGGTGAAATTGTACAGTGTGGCAACAACTCCCAGTTTGTCAGAGCCTTACAGTGGTCACAGGCACCTCAGGCTGAGTGCAGAGGATCTCCGTTTTTACAGGCAGCCTCAGGAAGCCGGGCTGGACTGAAAAAGTAACGGAATTATGTGGAACTTGTCTGAGTCACTGACCCTACATCTCCWCAAGTTCTTTCAGGGCACTGCCGTGAAGGAGGACAGAAGAGGCTGCAGCTCAGAGAGGAGATCTGCCCTTTCTGGTCACCGAGGGTTGCAGATCTCCTCCCCTAGCCTCTCCCAGTCTTTTGTACTTTCTCTGCTAATCCATCCAGTGCAGCATACACTGACAGAGGCAGGAGCTGGAAAGCCTGCTCTGAAAACCTCTGAATGCTGCTGGACCAGCTGCAGCAACATGAACATGAAAACGGTGCTCATCCTCCTCGGTCTGGCCTTAGCCACAATATTCGCCCTGGTSTGCGTGTTGCTGACCAGAGGAARGASCCCCAGCCCGTGCCAGCAGCTGCCCCCRGAGCAGGAGGACACRGAGGATGGCCAGAGCCTGGTGTTTGCTGACCTGAGCCCYGAGGAGATGTCCCAGGTGGTTCGGTACCTGCAGGGCAGCCTCGGGGTGCCGCTGGTGGACGCCTCTCGCGCCAAACCCTCGGACAACTGCATCGCCTCGCTGGATCTGCAGGTGCCCGCCAAGGCRGAGGCGCTGCGGTTCCTGGACGGTGGAGGGGCTCGTCCCCCYCGAGAGGCCCTGGCCGTGCTGTACTTTGGGAAGCAGCCCGAGCCCAACATCACCGAGTACGTGGTGGGGCCGCTGCCGGTGCCGGCGTACCACCGGGACGTGACGGTGCACAAGTACGGCGGGAAGGTGCCCTACCACCGCAGACCGACGCTGGCTGTCGAGTACAAGCAGCTTGGAGTGTTTTTAAAAAGCCAGGTGTTCCCTTCAGCTCCAGCATTCATGCAGCAGGTGATGGAGTACGATGGAGCCAACCTCGCGGTGATGACAGCCGCTCCCCGTGGGTTCCAGTCCGGGGATCGCATCACCTGGTTCGTGCTGTTTCAGAACGTCAGCGGGTTCTTCGTGCACCCGATGGGGCTGGAGGTGCTGGTGGACCACAGCAGCCTGGACATGTCGCAGTGGGCAGTGAGCAGGGTGTTCTACAACGGGCAGTACTACAGGGACATGGCCCAGCTGGAGAGCGCCTACGTGCAGGGCCGTGTCAGCGTGGAGAAGGTGAGGAAGGCGCCGTGGGACGGGGATTTCTCCTCCATGAAGCCTCGGGCACCATCRGCCGCGCTGTTCCCGCTGCAGTACGAGCCGCAGGGTCCCCGCTACAGCGTCAGGAACAACCGGGTGCTGTTCCAGGGCTGGAGCTTCTCCTTTGGGATGAGCGTGAGCACGGGCCTGCGGCTGTTTGACGTCCGGCACAAGGGGGAGAGGATTGCCTACGAGATCAGCGTGCAAGAGGCGCTGTCTGTGTACGGCTCCAACTGCCCCGGAGGGATGTCCACGCGCTACATGGACAACAGCTTCGGCCTGGGGCGCTACACCTCGCCCCTGGTGCGAGGGGTGGACTGTCCATACCTGGCCACCTACGTGGACACMCACTCATTGTCACAGAGCCTGAGGCCCAGGAAGAGGAAAGCTTCTCTCTGCATCTTTGAGCAGAACCTGGGCTCCCCTCTGAGGCGCCACTACTCCAACCTGCAGTCGCTCTATTACGGGGGTTTGGTCAACTCCGCTCTGGTCATTCGCTCCATCGCCACTGTGGGCAACTATGACTACGTGTGGGACTTCATCTTCTACCAGAACGGGGCCCTGGAGGGCAAGGTGCAGGCCACRGGCTACCCCAGCTCCTCCTTTCTTCAYGGGGATGGCCTGAGATAYGGCAATAGGCTTTGGGAGCACACGCTGGGCACGATACACACCCATTTTATCAACTATAAAGTGGACTTGGAYGTGGGAGGTAGGTCTGGCTCTTCTTTTCACGCCTGCTGTTGTGCTGATAAACCCCAGAGCTTTGAGGTTTGCCMCTTTGTCCATACAGTCCCTAATAACTGACATCAGAGCTCCGCTCCTTTATTCTCCTAACCTCTTCTTTCATTGCAAAATTATTTTTGGGTATATGAAACAGCCTGTCGAGGTCACTGAGTGGAAAGCAGTGGGAATTTCTGGGAGCTCTGTGTTCAGCTCAGGGGAAAGTATGAAAGGTAGCAGCTGAAAAATGTTTGTGTTTCCTTGAGGCCTCCCGTCTGGCACRGCGTGTGTTGCCATAGGCACGGGCGGGCAGACAGGGAGTTGGCCCCGTCTGAGCAGCACAGGCAGTGTGAGCCCGCTGTCCCAGCTCCTGCTGCTGCTCCTGGTGCTCCTTCTCCCTCGGGAAAACCCTCTGAGTGTCCCTCTGCCCCATGGAAACCCTCTGAGTGTCCCTCTGCCCCATGGAAAACCTTCTTGCTGCCCCATGGAAAACCCTCTGAGTGTCCCATGCCCCATGGAAAACCCTCTGAGTGTCCCTCTGCCCCATGGAAA